AGGTCATCCGCCTTGTGTGCGATCTGTCACTCTATTATGATCGATACTTTCACTGAGCCCGTTGTCCCTCCGCATTCCTCTTGCGCATTAAAAAAAACTTGACTTCGCACAAGTATGACCCCCGTACAGTGATAAACAATCACGAGGAGACTATTGCTCGAGACATTCCCCGTAGAAGCGACAACTCGCAGAAGCATTGATCCAAAATTAAAATAGCTTCTGAAGACTGAAGATGCGGCCGAGAGTTTGCGCGTCTCATCTCGCATCCCCTGGCTATTTTCTCAACGCTGTTTCGAAGTGCATCGCCGACTATTCGAACGGAACACAGATGGAACTTATCTCCGCGTAATTTTTATTTAAATCAATATGCACTCCATAAGAGAGAAAGGGAGAGGGAGAAAGAGAGATAATAATTGAATGATACATACTTAAAAAAATGATATCTAACGCAAGATTGCGCGAGGACATCCGACGATGTTTGGTAAATCTTCATCAACGATCCGAGGACCGATTCCACCGGTTAATTCGACTTGAGCGGTTCTTCATCTCCTCATATAAGATTCGAGCTAGAAAGAAGAGAAAAATCGATACAAATACCGCGGTTGAAAAAGCTAATCGTCATCGGTGAATAAAGCCAACTTGATGAAATGGTCGACTTGGACAAGTGACATTGCGAATATGTGTGACTAGTGCGATATCGCGGAATGTCGAGATGCCTTGTTTGCTCGAAAAGCTACTTGTGAACCGCGTTGTTTATGTTCGGATCGGACTACTATAACAGAAGATCATCACAGTCCTTTCCTTATATGGAGGGGCGAAATCGTGCCGCTCGAGGCCTAGGCGATGCACTTTCTCCCGGCAAAAGGATCCCTTGAGTTTTCCGTATCGTAAGTTTTCGCCTCCGCGCGACTCTCTGTCGCATTGTAGTGATTGTATATTTTGTTTTTTATTCGCGACTTGGTCGCGCGGACGCGCTACTTTCGAGTTTCGGCCTAAGGAAAATGCCTTCTTTTAGTGGGGGCATTTATAATTTTCGGCTTTTCGTGCGTGTTTCGCTAACAATTAAAAATTTGTTCGCCTATTATACTTATCATTTCGTGTATTTTTTGTCGTTTAAATTCAATTCACATTATTAGGGTATAATAATTAATTAATTAATTAATTAATTATAATAGTGTCATTATAATTCGTAATAATATACAACATTTGTCAATAGATCATTTATGCTAAAACCCACCGCATGCTCGTGTCGAAATCTCTCACATTCGTACATTCTCTCCCGTAACATTCACACATATCACACACGCGCTCCTAATGCACACGTGCGTTTTCTTTCTCCGTCTTTCTCTCTCTCTCACACACTCTCTGCGATTTCGCTTAGCTTTCTCTCGTTCTTTCTCCCTCTTATACGCACAAGTATATTTTGCGAAAAACACCTTTCTCTTGCTTTCGCACACTCTCACGCCGTGGGACTGTACTTGCTTCACGCGTGGCTTATCTAACTAATTCACGAATCTTTTGTGTGTGATTCTGGAGCAAGTATATATGCATGTAACTGTATGTACGTGTAAATGCGTGTGCAACGACACGCGCGCGTGTCTCTTTTTCTTACGTCACACGCGGACTCGTCTCTCGCTCTCGCTCTCTTTCTCTCTCTCTCTCTCTCTCATCTTGGTACATTCTACGTATAAGCCACATTCGCTCTCGTATCTGTGTGTAGCCTACTTTATTTCAATCTAAGAAAAAGAAAGAAGAAAAAAAATAAGATACAAGATCAATGTACGGCAACACATGCGTTCGTATTTAAAAATCAGCGAAATAATATGAGAACACAATGGCGATCTCTCGGAGAAAGAGGAAAATTATAAGAATGATACTCGTGTGATGCACACGAGTACGTCCGATGATAGTCTTTGTACACATCTTAAAATATATTCCCGCGCGATTTCCGACCCGATACCAAAAAATGCAGAAAACATCGCTTTCTAGAGAGGATATAAATTCCACGATGGACTTTTTATATGTATATGCGCCCCGTATCTCTTTTCCCATTGCTCCTTCTGTGTCAAAAATCTGACAAATAATCGGATTCGATTCGTTCCTTTGCGGAGTCGAGAATGGTCCGAGTCAAAGATCCCGAAAACACGATGCACTGCTCTAATCTTGTTCAGAAAGGAACACCGTTCTTTCGACTACAGTTAAAATCGAATAAACAGTATAAAAGGATTTGATCTTAAATCTTCGCGCAACAGAAATTAAAACCTTCTCTCGTTGCGACGATGCAGATTCAATTACATATGAATTATATATCAAATACATCTGTATATATGTGTATATATAAATATATATATATTTATATAATATATATATAATATATTATATATATACATATATATATACAGGGTGTCCGGTAACTAACGGACCAACGATTACAAGTGGATTCTTTGGTCAATTTGGGAACGATTTTTCCTTAGCAAAAATGTTGAGAAGTCAATAATTTTCGACCAATAATTTTTTAATCATTGGTCCGTTAGTTACCGGACACCCTGTATATATATATTTATTATATATATAATATATATTTATTTATATATATAATAATAGATATTTTATATATATTATATATGTATTTGAAAAGTTTGAATTTCGAAATCGAAGCAGACCTCGTACTCAAATAATGATATGCAAGAAAACGCCAAAGGAATCGCAGAATTCGTGTGATGTATTATAATTACAACTAAAACGATGTTCTCCTTTCTTACATTTCGACGCGCGATAATGTGACCTTCAAATCTCATCAACGCAAGTTGTTTTTCCATGTACGTACATGTGAATACTTAAAATATTATATTTTTTCTAATTTGAGTAAATGATTTGCAACGATGATTCATTATAAGTAATCATAATCATCGTACATGGAAAAAAACAAAGATCACATCAATCATCAAGTATTATAGTACCGATGATTTAAAAAAAAAGGAATAATTTAATGTTCTTTTTAAAAAGCATCCGAATGCTAAAAGAAGGGAACACGTAACGAATCACAAAAATGTAAAAAATAGGAACAAATGCGACGCGTCTAAACATATAACGAGGAACATACATGATGTTTAAAATGTAACGCGCAAGGAACTTTATTTAAGAAAGATTTACATGTTCGTATCGTATGTGTTTTATGTATGTATATTTTCACCTGACGTACATTGTGTGCATTGTATCAAATCACCACGCGCACATACATTACTAACATGTTAAATAATATTATAAAAGTCCTAATGTTTCCGTTAAAAAAAGCCCTGGTTAAAAATAGAAACATGATCAGATCAGTGAACGTAAATTATTCACCTGAATATATAAACCCACATATAAAGATTGATACCGTATTGTTGAGTCCAAGAATATTTTACACTTGTGTAACCATTATTATATTATCAATAATGTCGAACGTTTGGAAACAAGGTCCCTCTTACATGCTTAACGTGCAAAAAATCTTACACTTTCCGTGGTTCGTCAAATAATTATAATAATAATAAAAGATAAACTTCTATAACGAGCCCTCGGGATAATCAGCAGACCTAACTTATGTGCATTGATGTTCGATCAATCCCCGCATTTAAAAACACTTTTGAATCAAAAATGATTCTGTGTAGCTTTCTCTCTTCCACACACACATACACACTTTCTTTGTCTCCGATTTATTTATTCAAATCCTCACATACTCATTTTTTCCTCTCTGTCTTTCCCTCTTACATATCCCGAGCATATATTCTCTCCCACTATCATACCACACATTCTGCTCAACTTGCACACTGACACTATCATACCACACATTCTGCCCAACTTGCACAAATACGTACTTACGATATAGTCTTACAATATTTTATATTCATTTACTCTATTAATTATACCAATACTGTTGACGGATAGAGATTCATTCACAGCTCGCACTAGAGCGGACAATCGTCTCTGATGCGTGTAGCATTAACGTTCTTTTTTCTCGCTTTCTACTTTTTTGTTGAAAAGCGATCTTTCACTGTGCAGTCACGTTGTATCTTTCACCTTTCATATTTAATATAATTTTTGACATAAAGTTTTTATCACACGCTAAAACGCTTGATCTTTATTTCAGAGATCATTGTCCATCCGCACGGTATTTTAAAACGATACAATTCACGAGTAAACGGGTCCAAAATTCTTTTCTATTTATCTACCACTTCCTTCTCTCGATTTCTTCGTTATCTTCCCGTATCATCGTGACGGATTCAAAGATACCACACTTTCCTCCTCCCCTCATCCGTCCAAGAATAAGAAAAACGTTACGAACTCGAGCAGACTGCCACCATATATAAGTTCGTTTTTATCTTCATCCTCGATAGTGTCGCAACATCGACTGCAGTAGAGCTGCAGGGTCGCTTGACAACTCGGCACGGAATTTATCTATCGATGAACCAGAGCACAAACCTAACTTTATCGCACAAAACGTATTTCTCGCTCACAAACGAGTTCCGTACATCATTTTCTGGTCCAATCATCTAGTTTTCGCGCGAGATGATCCGTACGTTCTCGAAAACAATGTAATTACTTGTGACCGCGCTGCGCGAGAAAATATTCAATCTGCTGCAGACAGAGCAGTTGCTGTACCAGGCTCTGCAGCGGATCCTGACCAGGTTGCAATTGACCCTGCTGCTGCTGTTGCCCCTGGAGTCCTTGCGGCTGCGTCAAACCTCCACCAGTAGGCTGAGCAGACGTAGGTGGCAGCATCGTGGTACCCGGACCTGATTGCTCGGCCAGCAACTGACGCTGCAGTTGCTGTGCCTGGTAATGAGCCATCGCCATCAGCTCCGAGGACTCCATGCCCATCGAGGCGGCGGCAGCGGCGGCTGCGGCGGCGGCGGCGGCGGCGGCCACGTGACCCAATTGCTCCGGATGATGGTGGCCCGCTGCTGTTGCTGGCAGACCGGGTTGGCAAGCCAACGGCGGAAACACACCGTGCGACGACAACCTGCCAGCCGTGGAGCCGGCCGCAGAAGCCAGATAGGCGGCGGCAGTGGGGAGGCTAGGATTCTCGCCCCGCTAGGGAGCCACGTTCTTGGGCCTGCGCCCCCGTCGCCCCCTGGTGGGGGGGCGCGGGGACTCCTGGCCTCACTGGCTCACCGCGGGGCTCTTTTTGTCTTGCTGCTGCTGACTGGCGTCTTGCGTTCCCTGTACACCCGCGGCTGCACCCGCTTGACCACCCTGGACACCCTGAAATAGATACTTTTCTTTCATTTCTTGATAAACCGAGCATCCTTGATATTGGTTCTTCAATATCACTTGTCGAATATATTATATAAGTTAATTACATATGTTACCTGACTGCCAGGACCACCCTGTGGCGGGCCAGGACCGCGATCTGGCGGCCAGGAATTACCAGGTGTCGGTTCCGAATGGAACTGGTGAGGATGCGGCGGTGGACCGCCGGCCGCGTCATGACTATGAGGATCCATATTGTTCGCGTCATATTGCGTGTTCTCCAACCTCGTGATCAATCGTTCATCCTCATCTCCGAACTCGCCACCCATTAAAGATGGTTCACCCACGACCATCACATCCTGCATTAATGTGAGAGAAAGTATCTCCAGTTAATGCCTGTCCTCTTACATAATTGATAAAGTCGATCGAGAAAGTTAATCGAGACATTTACTTGCGACGCTAGAGAAAAATTTGGCCCTGGTGAACGCTTTTTACTGGGGGCGGGTGGCGCGTTATTGCCCGGCCCTGACGTACTGCCCTTTCGCTTTCTTCTTTTGCTAGCCGGTCGCTGGGATTCTGGAAATAATTGGTTCATCGTGAGCAGGACGCTGCGCGCACTCGATCGCCACGCTTGGCCACGTGTGTAGGCTACACACTGATAAACTTAAGAGCACTACCCAGCTGTGGACCTTTCTCATCATCAAAGGTCTCTGACACGCACAAGCACAAGCATGCATTGATAGACGAACAAATACTTAGACACAATTCAGGTCTATTTCTTTCACGCGCTACTAAATACTTTGCACTCTCAAGCGATTTTTACAGAGAAACATGCTTGGCATGATGATACATAGTGTCGTAGTTGCTTGGTTCCACGGTTTTGTTTTACTTTTAGAAAGATATTGAGATGAAATGAATTTGAATACGAACTTCGACATTCAAAGTTACATAATTAACCACAGTAACGCAACATCAAGCAATCGAAAAGTAATGAACTGAATCACTGATAGGTATATTTGTGTGTGCAAAATAAAAAATAAATTGACATTTTATGTAACAATAATGCTTGATTCGATCATGAACTCAACTATTCGTGAAATGTAATTATCAACAAAGCAAAGCAATGTTGCAACCCTGATAAAATGGTTGATGAGGAAGCGAATGTAATTGTTGAAGAATTCCGTGCAAAATCGGCAAATCTCGCGCTCGACGAGAAAAAAAAAACCGATAGAACCAAGAATCGCGACAAGAGTGGCAAAGAAAACCGACGACAACAGTACGTCGTTTCGCGAATGGCAAAGACCGATCTCGTTGTCTATCAGGATCGATGGTCGTTCGGCTCCACTGGCTGGTGCTTCTCATGTAAAGCAACTGTTCGTCTACCTCTCTTACCCGGCGGGGCAACTATCCTCTGCCATTTCTGGAACAAGGTTGTCTTCAAGCAATCACGAGGTGACAACGCGTACGCCTTATGCCTCGACATCAGTTCCTGCATCGGCTCCAGAATCACACATAACTGTAACAGAATCGCCTTATGTAACTCAAATCCTAATAGAAAAGTCGAATTTGAAACTGTATGAAAAATTTTCCTATATTTTTAAGCCGAATTAGGTATTGTTAAATAAATATGCGCGATATTGTATAATTCTATAGAAGATGAGTCTTTTATAAAACATTTAGATATTTCTTTCAAGTTTAAATACGAAAAAAATATGCAAAATCATTTTAAACATAATTACACACACACACACACACACATTTCTAAAATATTGTATATATAAAATTTATTTTTGCAATTTTCAAATTCGAACAACATATGTAAATGCTTTGTTTCTTGTATATGATACATTCGTAATTCGAGAATTGTTAATGATTCAAATCGAGAGAAATTAATTTCAAGTAAAACTTCATTAAACTTTAAAATCGAGCTTTCCTAATCGTTCTATATTTTCGTATTAATATCATTATATTACATTAGTACGTGCAGTAAGTGCAAAGCGATTAAATGGCACTTAAAGAGGAACATTTGCAAATTGACACACCTTTTGCTGCAGTTATCTTCTAGCTATATTCGATTGATTAATCATATTTTCTCATTTTCAATTAATACGTATTCGTGTGTGTGTGTGTGTGTGTATAATAACTATATTAGAATAATGATATCATCTTTCTCTATTTTGAACTTGTAAGATGAAAATCTTTCAATAGTTTATCATCGAAAAAGCAATTTAATTTATATCTATACTATTTGTTTTGTAATTTTTCAAAAATTCGATTGCTTTTTATCGCGTAAGACGTAAAGTTTCAGTTCAATTTTCACGCAATCAATCCGATATACTGCGTACATTAACGTATAATTAATTAATTACGACACTCGCATTACAAAAGATACATACTCTAAGGTAGTTGAGGGTGAAGTTGGACATGCCCTGCCTGGTGATGTTTTTGCTGATCTGCTCGAGCATGGTCGGGTCCTGCTGCATACTGACAACGGACCTCGGCACCAGTTCTCGATGCGTTCTCACCGACATGTGCCACGACTTTATCCTCATGAGGTCGTCGAAGGTGAACTCCAATATTAACCTACCCTCCGTTAACACCTGAAATCAGAAATTCGAAATAACAATACAACCCCGCCTTCCCCTGTCTCTCGCTATTTCGCGAGTATTCGATTTCGCGCGTCACTGTCGAGAAAGGAAGAAGAAAGAGAAGAAGAGAGTTCGCAGAAACTTGTGTTGGGAAACAGTTTTGCAGAAACTACGGAAATCCAATTAAACTTTAATCCCTTTTATCTCTATAATATTTTTCTTTAAAAGAAAAGAACGATTAATTTTTCTAATTATGCCAAATTAAAACAGGTGCATTTTCTTTCATATAGCGATCCCAATATATCTGTTAGATATATATATATATATATATATATTATGTAGAAAGGGAAAGAGAGATGAGAAAGAGAGACAGGAATAGATTGACAGAATAAGGCTAACGTTTCGGAGACTTGCGAAAAACGAGATACTCAGATATATGTATTTTCGTATAAAGATGTCAACAACTTCGTTAATAAAATATTCTCGTTTCAATCAGAAATATATTTTATATATCAAATGTACACAGAGAGAATTTTCACTTAAAATTTACCCTAAAAATCTTGGAACAATATGATATTGTAAAAATTTATAAGAGTTGCTCTGATTAAATATTTATCACAATAAAAAAAAAATATATTCGATTAATTTTACTATGTACATATTAATATTTTTTATTGTAATAAATATTAATCAGAGAAACTCTTATAAAATTATTTTAATACCATATACGATTTCCATGATTTTCAGGGTAAATTCTCAGAGAAAATTCTCCGTGTAGTTTCTTGTATCTCGATATTTCTAGAAACTTCTAGAATTTGAATTTAATGTCCGCGCATTTCGATAATTAAAATCAGATTCTACATATTATAAATAATTTTTTCTTATTAAATGTAACATAAATTCTCGTACCTTTGTGTACATGGGTTTCCCATATTGCGTGACCATCGTGCACTGATCACAGTCCAGGGTTATACTGGTGTTATGAAACGACTCCTTCTGATTCTTCAAAGTATAGTAAAGCTCTGTAACTCCGCCATCGAATATCGAGCGGAAGTACCTAGGTATTAACGTCCTTCCTATCGCTGAAAGGATAAAAGTGGAAACAATTAGAAATAAATACAAGAAAGAGACGCGCGAGAGAAAGACGAAACGATTATTAAGATGGACAGCTCTATCTTCGATCGATCGATAGGTTGTTTCGCGTTTAGGTACAAAATCTCCCTCAATAAATACGACACGGGGAAGAGATATACATCTTCGTGAAAAGTTGCCCTTAAAGGAAATTTCTAACGCAAGTAAAAACAAAATTGACGCATTTAATTCCAAAGCTTGGCTTCACAATCTATCGCAAAAAAGATACATGATGTAAATAAGACGCAAGAAGTAATATACATATCTTGTACATATATGTATATTATTAATTTATATATTTATATTATTAATTTACATAATATATTATTATATATATTATCATAACATATTATTATTATTAATTTATATTATTATATAAATGTGATATAAATATATATATATATAAATATTTAAATCGTTATGCAACAATGCGGTGAGGAAGAAAATTTCTCCTTAATTGCAAAGTAATGCATCTCGCGTTACCACATCTCGTCTTACTGTACGGCGAACTTGTCGTTTATATCCGGGCGACAACGACATGCATCCGCAAGACATGTAATCACGTTGTCGCCGTATATTATCGCGACGGTGTGTGTATGTGTATGTGTGTTAGAGAGAGAGAGAGAGAGAAATAGAGAGAGAGAACTGACATTAAAATCCACCAACTGCAAAATTGCCGCCCGGCGGCACGTCATTACTTAAAACACAGGCGGTATCGTACGAGCTTACCAACGATTAAGTATCAGTAGCGATATTGTCAAGGTGTAAAAAATTATCTAACACGGAAATCGAACGCAGATAACGAAAGTAGATATCGGAGAAACTCACTATTTCAGAATGTTATCGATGTTTTTCTCTAAAAAAAAAAAAAAAAAAAAAAGTCTTGCTCCGCAACTTACTATTTTTCCGTGTGTGCTTCACTCACCGTCAATTTCATAAATTAGAGAGGTCTCGCTTTTTTCTTTATCGCTTCGTATCTTTGATCAATTGAGTTTATAGATATAACGAAATAAAATGTTTATATTAATAAAAAAAATTTTTTTTAATTAAATTAAAAATTTAACATATGTTGAGATGTCGATTTAAAATAAAATAGAATCGATTGTTCGCAATTGATTTCGTTATACAGGGTGTCTGACATAAGGTGTCACATCGAAAATATACAAGTAGATCTTGTTATTTGGAGATGAATTTTCCTCAGCAAAAATGTCGAGGGAGGCCATCATTTTTTGCATGTTATCAATTTTTGCTATCATGCATGTATCTTCATAACTAAACCTTGAATGAAAATTTTATTAGAGTAAACTCTACTTGAAATTAATTGGAGAATGTGGTTTTGTTAATATTTTATTTCCACTAAGGCTTACTTTGCGACTCATCTCTTATTTTCAAATCGCTTATAACTCGAAAATTCTTGATGCCTCCAAATAACGAGATCTACCTGCATATATTTTCGGTGTGACACTTTATGTCAGACACCTTGTGTATAAATTTTCGAAAACGTCTCTTCTGCTCAATGAATACTTACAATATCTCTTCGGTCCGTCTTCCAAGCAGACGTGAAGGGTGAGGGTGGCGTCCTCCTCGAAAACTCGTTCGCGAAGGCCTCCCACCAAAGGTTGTCACTTTCCTAAATAGAACAGAGAGAAATACAGAAAGGATTAGTTTGTGTGATATATATCCTATCAATTTTCTTCTTTCGACACACACACATATATATATATATATATTATAAATCGCCACCGATTTATTTCACGAGTGGCAAATCGGAAACAATCGAAAGTGGCGAACGAAGGGTTAGCCGGAGGACAGAATTACAGAGACGAAAAGAAGAAGAGAGAATGAAGAGGTGGCACCTCTCTCCTCCCTACAAAGAGTCGCACGAAGGGCGCGGAAGACTGAGGAAAGGAGAAAGAGAGAGAGAGAGAGCTGGTACCACGGTGCTGAATAACGCATGACTGTCTGGCTTGAAATTATAGCATTCCGCCCTCTCTCTCAGTCGTAGGAACTACCCCCTGGCTCTGCTGTTCACCACGCTTTCATTCAATTATGCATCTCCACCTCCACTATCCTCCTAGCGCCCTTCCAGGTCCACCTAGCCCCTGCGGGTGTTCCTCTTATTATTATTTTCCCGCATGCAGCTCTCTCGTCGGCTTTTCTCGCGCGCGAAAAATCGCTGTCGTCGATGATTTCTATAATAACAATCCTGATTCCGCAGATACTATCGCGAATCCGCTCAACCAAGACTCTTCATTCGCGAACGCGTAAATTATACGAATCAATTCTTTTTGAACTATATATGATTTTTACCCGACTGATATTCAATTAAATATGATAGTAAAATTTTTCTACATTGTAAAATTATGTAAAATTACACGATAAATTTACATATTTTTTAATGTAATTTTAGATATTTTTTACAGTGTATAATATATTTTTGTATACAAGTAAATTCTTCGGCGATATTATTTTTTAAGATAATTTACGATAAACATGCAATAGATTGAAATTGTTTCATATTTTTTGTCATAAAATATTAAATACTTAAAAAGAGCTTTTGAATAACAAGGTAATTAAACTGTTTCATTATATAATATTATGTTATGGTTTAAGAAATATTTTGGTACAGAATTACCTTAATTTTCTTTTTTTTCTACCGTTGTGTTTATTTTCATACGTCGATAAAAATCAACAAATATAAAAAATTCATAATTTTGCAAAATATATACATATACGCATATCAAATTGCATAACAAATTAAAAAGATCAAAGGAACAGCATACATTATGAGCGACAGAAAAGTTCTCGAATGAAAACGCAGCATCTGGTGATGGTATGCGAAATACATTCCGAAATACCAATACACACACTCATTCCTGGATGGATTGTTTTCTGAGCACATTTACTTTCGCGACAAAACTCATTGTCGGAACAACAATTATCATGTTTGCCATTGCAATTTATTATGCGTTTCCGCCACTGCGCTTGTCAATAGGCACCTTTTAATTTTGCACATCGGAAAGCAAACTCAGCTTTAACGTAAATGGACGGAGAAACGGCGCTCCATATATGGACATCGGTGGATTTTAAGCGAATAATTAAATATGGGGAGAAGGGGTAAAAATAATATTTTTTCTGTCCTAAAACCGATCCGGAAATCAAAGAACTAAGACACACGGGAATGAGAGATGTCGCGGAACCGGTAACTCGTGTCAAATTCGCATGGACAATCGGTTTCCGGTGCGGCCATCGACACTGCACTCGCAAGAAGATTTATTTCGGACGTAAGCTGCACGGTGCCAAATCAAGCAAACTGTTACCACTCCCGCGCAAATTGATATTTCTGGCAAGCGCGCCTCGGCCCGGATGGAGGAGCCTCGAGAGATATAGAGTAGAGAAGGCGAAACAGTGACACGATAAGTGTAACTGAACGAGCGAAGACGCTGCTCGACAAATGGACGATATTCAATAATGCGAGGGGCCGAGGGAGAAAAATTTATTTCTTTCCGCTTCGCGAAACTCTCTCTTTCTCTCTCGATCGAGTCCGTAAAATCATTCGGGAGCGACGGGATGATACGAGAAATCAGCATTAGCGCAATATATAATGCGTGTTTTGTCATATGTCTATAATGTGCATGACATGTGTTTCGATACATGTTTAATACGGGTAATCTCTGTCCCTGACGATACGTATGACATGTGTGTGATATACGTTTAGATAAAGTGAGTTTAATTTTCAAATTACGAAGCATATACCGTATATAAATTTGCATTTTAAATGTATTTCTTTTTAAACGTAACAACTTAGTTTTACATTTTTTATATATTTTATATTATACAGTTTATACATCTTTCTCTACATAATTTTTTTTCGATATCCAGACAATATAAAGAATCTTGGAAAAAAAATAGCGAAACTTTATCAACACGTTTAATCAGTGTTTTCTTGTTTTATATATTAATCTTATCAGCGAATAAAAATCGCATTTGCCTTGAATTAACTTCAAACTTGTCGCGGGTAAAAAATCGAAGAAGTTTTATTAATCGCATAATCAATCCCTCTTTCTCAGTTAGTTTTACATTTTCAAAACACATTTTCAAAACTCGAGTATCGTAAAAATTTAACGCTTGTCATACATATTTTAGTAAGGTAATTAATTGCTCGTCAATCATTCGGTATTTTAAACGACATGATAAGCATCTGGTAATTTTTATAATTTTCCTACATAACATCAGCATGTTTTTTTTTTTTTTTTCAAATACATATTACATTATCAAATATTGATTAATAGTTCAAAACCTAACAACATAATAAAATGCACTGCAAAAAATAAAAAATACATTTCATACTCGTCAAGATTTCTGACATATTTTTACAAATATGCAAAAACATTTAGTATTTTATAGTAATTAATATTTTTTTTTATTTTACCCCGACAATTTCTACTATTTTGACAGCATCTTGCAGTCACTCGTATTTAACTATTTATTTAAAGAGCTACAAAGTAAACGAGTAAATAATATTTTTACATACTAAATTACTTTAGTCTCATTTATTTTCTATTTTATATATTAAAATTAAGAATTACGAAATAAGAGATTTAGCAACATTTTCTTCTAGCTTATGCCCTTAGATTCTGGTTAACGCGAATAGAGTTCGACGAGTGAATAATGTATCTAGGAAAATAATACCGTGTTTGCAATTCGATCCGCATTTTGGCAATTCTATTCCATTCTACATATTCGATCCGATAATTCTCTCGCCTTGAACAAAACCGCCGACAATGCGCAAGAAATTCGCAATCGCATTCGTCCTCGCTCTCTGCGGACGGTCGAAAATTCAATATTATTCCCGCAAAATAAAAATTGATTCTCTCTCTCTCTCTCCGCCATAAACTATATGTCCAGCGAATGACAAGGAAATAACAAAAAGCGACATTCATATACATATATATATATACATACATACGTATATTTTCAATTCGCCCAAGTTAATAACAGCGAAAATTGCGATGGTGCAACGCACGAAAAGTATAGCATTCGAATTCTCTACATTCACCAAAAAAAAAAAAAAAAAAAAAAAAAATCGCAAAAAAGATACTGCAATATGTACATTTTTTTTAAAGCATTATTTATTAATGAATTGCATAAAATTTGACGTCGCATTTAATGCGCGCAATTGATTTGCAAAGATTAGAGATTTTAGAGAGAAAGCGAGATTCTACGTCACGCTTTTATATATTTTCATTAAAATCAACTCCGATATTATAGACGCCGTACTAGGAAATCCATAATATCGCGTTCAAAGGAACCTACACAGATCCGAGTAGGCGATGAATAAAAAACGAAGAGGGGTCAAGGATGAGAGAAAGATCTTGGACGTGAAAATCGCGGCGTGATTTTCGCGCGCATTTTTTTCGCGTCCGTATTAGCGGTAGAGTTAAATGTAATTTGTCCAGGGAAGAGATGAAAAAAAAAGAAAAAAAAAAAAAAAAAAAAGAGTCCACGGTCGAGTTGAGTCGCGTCGTAATAACCGGGTTGGACGACGCCGCGCATTTTTCGACCCCCGCCGAAAAAATGTCCGGCATCGAGTCGTCCCGAATTCCAGTCCGATTCCGACATACCGGACGCGCGACGGCAAAGAATCCGATGTAATTCCACGGTGTTACCAGGTAGCACACACCCCGACCTCGAGGCGTCGCGTTGACTCCCGAGGACGACGACGACGACGGCGGCGTCTCGACGTCGACGCCGTATTTTAAACCCGCCGCCGGCGCTCGCGACGAATAAATTTCTTTTCATCGATTCGGCCGCGTCGACCGTTCCTCGAGACTGGCCGATGCGTTCTTTGCAACCCCTTTTTCCTCCCGGGTTGGCTCCCAAAATTCTCGCCCTTGTCCACGAATTCTCGACTGTACACACTCTCCCATTTCACGCCGCTAAGTTTACGTCCATTTCTCGGTTTTATTTAGATATATTCCCGGGTCTTACATAACGATGTGTATATATACCGTGAATGAAAAACTCCCTCTATATATATATATTCACGTCAGATCGATAAAACTCGAAATCAGACGAATTACATTACAGCGTTAAGTACGCGCGGGAAGAGGAAGAGAATCTTATATTCATTTTTCTCTCGAAGAATTCGAGCGAATTGTGTGGTAATTTACATCGATTTAATATATATATATATATATTTGAAAAAAACTGTGTTTTATATCGGCGTTATACGAAAATTATGAATAATTTACAGAATTGTAAAAAAATAAAAATAAAAAAATAAAAAAATACATACCCGATCGAGACTCGGCGATATATAAAACTACATTTTCAATTGAATTTAGCCGAAAGAGCGCTATTTCGCGAATGAATTTTTGTATATCGCCCGTTTAACGTCGGGTTTTCCACAGTTTCTCTCTCTCTCTCTCTCACCGCCTCTGCGAATATAAATGCTGAGAATATTCTCACGTGTTCGCGCAATATCTCGGAATAAAACGGGAGGGTTATATCAGCTCGAAATCCTAATTTTTTCAATCCATTCCTCGCGAACTCGAGCGGCGAAATCCGTCCCCTTTTTTTTTTCCCATCCTATCCCGTCCATTCTTCACTCTTGTGATTTTTCGCGCG